GTCCCAGCTACTTGGGAGACTGAGGCAGAAAGATCACTTGAGCTCAAGAGTTTGAGGTTACTGTGAGCTGTGACGATACCATGGCACTCTACCCAGGGGGACAGAGTAAGACTCATTCTCAAAAAAAAAAAAGAGTTGGCATGACGTCAGGCTTCCACAATAACAGGAAGTGAGCCTGGTTTCTCTGTCCATCACGTCACTCACCAATAAAAGAAGACTTCTTTAAAAGGTTAAAGGCTGAGTGGCTTGTGCCTATGGTCCTAGCACTTTGGGAGGCTGCGGCGGGAGGATCGCTTGAGTCCAGGAGTTTGAGGTTACCATGAGCTATGATCATGCCACTGCCCTCAGGCCTGGGCAACAGAGGGAGATCCTATCTCCAGGAGAAAAAAAAAAAGAAAAGAAAAGAAAGAAAAGGAAAAATAGAAAAAAATGAAAAGCTCATCAACCCAAGAGCACATCAGACACTAGGATGATTAGATTTTCAATGTGTACAAAATGGAATTTGAACTTGGTAGGGTGAAAGCAGAGACTTAATTTTTCTTTCTTTTACTTTCCCTCATCCCCCTACCCTGGGCTCAGGACAGAGATTTTCCAGTCATTGTCAGGTACACTGAAATCCAATCCAGCCTAATCTCAAACTTTCACTCTCATTCGATTTAAAGCTCCCCACTCCTCAGCTTTGCATGGGAAGCCTCCGAGGGGAGAAGAGAACAGAGCTTATGTCTTCCCTTGCGATGCTGTACCATAACCCACAGGCAGCTGTGTCTGGGGTCTCCAAGGAGGGGGTGGTGGATGGGGCAGTGACTCCAAAGGGGAGAAAGGCCCTACTTCCCCAGGGCTGTCGTACCTGGTGCCTCCAGGGGGCAGGTGCCCATAGGCCAGTTCTTTCTCTGCCAGGTACCTGAACAGATTCCTTGCCAGCTCCCCACCCCCGACCCCAAGTGTGCAGGCAGCCACTTCTGGCCCCTGTCAGTTGCACCCAATAGTCACCCCGTGCAGTTTCTCTTTGGGGCTCCTCTCCCCCTGCCAGGCCATTCTCAAGGACAAGGAGTTACCAGGCAGCTCTTCCTGGCTTCTTTCCACAGCCCCCACTTCGTTTTCAGGTCAAATTGCAGCTCCTTTTCTTAAACACAGCAGATGGGAAACGGGATCAAAACCCAGGCCTCTTTCCCCAAAGTAGAGAGGTTTAGCTGTCCTCTGATAAACTTTATATTCTGGAGACCCATATAAGAGAGCATTTGAAGAAGGTTCTCCTCCCTTTTAAGTGGACCCACTGGAGGCGGAAGGTGGCTCAATTTCCCCAGTTGGCCACATTAGGAGGCCGCAGGATATGGGGAGCTACCACTTGAATTGCCAATGGGTGACAGTTCCAGAGCTTTGGGCTTTGCAGGGAGGTAAAACAACGGGAAGTTAAGAGCCAAGATGTCAGCCTGGGACATCAGGGTCTGGGTCCTGGCTGTGCCCTGCAGGTCCTTGGAAAGGGGTGACTTCTGTGTGTTCCATTGTTCTCATCTATAAGGTGGGGCATGTAGCATAATCCTAGCTCAGTGCCTGCCTCAGGGTAAGCCCCGCTCCTGAGGCACTGTTCTCACTTGTGCATACCTGTTCATTCGCTGCTCAGATCAACTCTCCATGGCAATGCCCATTTTCACAGGGAAAGAAACAGAGGCTGAGAAGGGCCAGGGCAAGTGTGAACTCACATCTCTGTCAAACTCTTTCCAGCGTCTCAGTCTCTGACCCACAGCCTGCCCCAGTGCGGCCATGCCCTGGATAAACGTCCTACCCCACTTCCTCAACAGGGAAACCAGGTCCCAAGAAGGAAAGTGGCTTGCCTTGGGGCCTGGTCTCTGCGGCCTAGCCCCTGCAGCCACCGAGAGTGATCTGGGCAGGAAAAAGGAAGTCGTGGTGGGTACAGAGGTTGCTTCTCTACCCAGCCAATGGGGGCTTAGTGGGCCCAGCTAGGCCACAGGCCAGGAGCAGGACTCACCCAGGCCCACCCAGAGAAGAAGGCTGATGGGCCATCCCTGGGCGGGACAGAGCACCCAGCACTTTGCTGCACTGCCCTGAGGCTGGGGCAGGATATACTTCCTCCTGCCCTCAGCTGTCCTGATCACCTCTTCCTGGAGCCAAGAGTGATCACTCACTATGGACAACAAGGGCAGGGTCCCACATCTGGCTTGGGTGGGCCTCCCAGATAAGAGAGTGTGCCTGGTTCTCACCTCCTAGTGGAGGGTGTGTTGTCCCTGGTGCCACATGGCTGGGCTGTGGCTCTGGTATTTCTCTGACCCAGCTTGGGCATACAGCTGGGCTTTGAGATTCTGTGATAACTGAATTATAGCCCAAACTACAGGTTTTATTTAAGGTGGGGAATATTTGAGTAAACATTTTCATTTTTTTTTCAAATCACTTTTCAGTGTTTCAAAATATAATATGGTTATTGGCTGACTGCTATATGACGGGTACATGGTCTTATGAGATGCCCGCCTGAGTTCAGATCCCAAATTCTGCCCTTTACCAGTTCAGGGGACTCTTTGGGCTTCCTCATCACCATCTTCACCCCCCCAGTCTGTGCTGTGTTCAGTAAGGTAATGTCTGTGATGTCCTTGGTCCAGTGTGGGCAGGTAGAAGGACTATCCTACAGGATGGCAAAGGGCGTCATGACATGGAGAATTCACAAAGGGCAAGTCCATGGCCAACTCAGGTGACAGAGGCTGCAGGTGGACAGGATGATGTGAGAGGGAAGGTGAAGGGAGGGCTGGAGGCTGGGGGCACTGGGGGAGACTGAGGGGTACACGAACAACTGATGGCTAGAATGATCATTTCCTTAGGGTCGTTCATTTCCTTAGCTTCCTGTGCCCGCATCTCCCAGCTCTGAGCAATGAGTCAGGACAGATGCCTTTGAGGAGGTGTCTGGGCTGCTCTGGGGCTGAGGGAGGATATAGGCTGGGGGGCCGGGCTGGGGCTAGGGGAGGGCATAGGCTGAGGGGCCGGGCTGGGGCTGGGG